AAAAAATTTTCCTTTAAAAAGTCCTCTAATTTATATGATGTTAGATGTAACGAATGTTTCAATGTAATTATAGGTATATAGATTATTAGAGTGAACGACAAGAAAAATATTTTATTTTTATCCAGAAAAGACGATTCTTATTATATAGAGATACAATAATAGCCACATCGTTTTTTTATAAGGGGTAAACAGAATATTTTTTCCCCTTTAGCACTTTCTATATATATATATTATATTGTCCTTAATAAAAATATATAGTTCGGAGCATTTCTTTTATAGACTTATATAGTTATAGAGTTGAATCCCGATAACTTGAAAACTTTATAAGTTACTCAACATTTTTTCTTGCTCTTGAAGTGTTTATACTTTATATGTTTTTTTTTTTAAAGTATTTTACCAGGAAAAAACTGAAGTTGAATTTAATTTTATCACCTCTTACTTCTGAGATTCGAGTTCTCGAGAGTGGACTAGCATAGATGCGATAATATAAGTTTACCGTCGAATTTCGATCAGAGTTCGCATTATATAATTATTATATGCTGTAGCCGCTGTAGGCGTCTAATGTTGATTTATCATTTGACCAGTTGAGAATCATATTTATTATTATTGTTATTGCTGACGGATTCGTGTTTATGTAGGTTAACCGAACGCATTATAATATTTGATATTATCGTAAACACCGTTATTGTTTACACGTTCTGTACACGCGCGTGCGATCGAGATTTTGTCACTCTCCGTCTTTGCGAATAATAATAATAAATACAACTATACGTGAAAGGGTTGTAATTATATTTTTATTGTGATATTGTATTTTTTCTTTTAATTCATCTCAATAACAACTCGGCATGCAAAGGCCATTAATAGATATTGTTTTGCCTGATCACTTCCCGAGTTGTATAATATGCACACTCAGCAGCGGTGGCGTAGGCGGCATAATAATATAAGAACCAYGCACGTTCCGGCGGCGGCGGTGATGTCGTAATTTTGCGGTGCACTTCGAGGAAAAATGACAACAAGTGATATACGTTACGATCCACGGAATAAATTGAATCGTTGAGTATAAGTAGTGCCGTACAGGTACATCATAATACAACACGTATGACGACGATTGATGTACTTTTTTATTATATTACTATTATAATACTTATAAGTCGTAAACGGCTTTGATCGGTAGTTTTCGCAACGGAAAACCGATACGTTTCCGCAACGTAACTACGTCAATAATTCTGCCGCCACAGTTGTGCCACCGACGCCTTTTGTCCCGCTCGCTTTTTACCGATATTTCCCGTATGCAATACATATAATATCATGCCGTATACAAATATTGTTTACGATGTATATACCGCGGCTCGTCGACGCACACACACGAACGCGGACGACGGAAACAATAATTTAGGTGCGAACTAATGTATTTTTTGAAGCCGACGACGACTCTTGTTTACACACATTGTCGTACACGCGGCGGCGGCTGCGCATATAATCGCTTGCAGACCGTGGGAAATTGACGGCGCATGCAGTGTTATACGTGTCGTTTGAAAGTTTGAAAAAACAACAATGCTTATATGCGGACCTTGTGCATGCRTATTAGTATAATATGCAATATATTTTATATATTTATATATTATTAATTATTCGTAACAATAGTTTATTAGATTAAAGAAGCCGATCGTCAATCGAAAAAACCACCGTATTGACCCTCCTAGTTGGGCGAATTGCTTACGAGGATGTAAACCCTATCTCCGTTCATCTAACCGTTATTAAAGCATCCATTACCGAATTTGAAGAGCGCTATACAACATTGTGATGTTGTATCTGTAACAAAGAAGTTAGAGATTTAAACTTAATTTATCATTTTTCACGTCCTATCGCTTCGCTTTCGTCAAATAATTGCGGACAAACGAATTTTATAGAGCGTTCTTCTCGTAAAAAATCCAATACGATGACAGTTTTCTTTGCAGCAGGTTTAACCGATGACACACCATGGCAAGACGTCAATCACGATCCTATATCTATACCTATTCGTAGGTATATTATTAATATCACGTGACTTTYYCGTGGTTTGGAGCAGCAGAGGGGGTTGAACTCGCGCGGTATATTTGCAGTGACTTAAACGTACGACCACAAAAATATCGTATAGACAACGTGCGCACACACATGCACGATCCTTATTATTAACTGTATACACCTTGGAGCACAGGTCATCGAATTCGCAATACACATTACACTCGCCACTCGCGTACTTACACACTTTATATTTAATGTTTTATGTTTTTATTCCGTCCGGTCGGCATTTCCGTCTGAGTGCGGTTTGTTCGCACACGCGAAAACAATGTAACTAGTTTTTAACGGACGTATTTCACGGTACCGCCCCTGAAAATATACGACCTCCCAAACACCCGAGTGGCCGCGACGGCGGCGTTGACGACCGTTTCTAATTGACCGCCGATGATTCTCTCTGGCCGCCGCCGCCGCCGCATGTATTTCATTCATCTCGACCGTTGCCGACGCGCGACCCCCTCTGTGGCGGTGCGGGTCGAACGCACGCGCGCGCACTCGAAACGCACGTGCGGCGGCGCCACGCGAACACGTTGTCATCGCTGCCGCGTGCCGCCAGTGAATCACATTAATATGTTATTATTATAATATGTTAGTGTACACCTACCTATGCTATATGCAATATAATATAATAATATACTATTATAGTTATACCGCGTGATAACATTATTATGCTTGTACATCGAATTGATCATAATAATATTATTATAGACGCAATTCGAAGGTATTTGTATATGTGTTTTGGTCGTTTATTATTTTATCAAAATCTAGTGGGCCGTAATATTATAACTGTCATTATATTAATTTCTCAGGGTGGGGAGATAGGTTGGTAGTGTAATGGTGAAATCAAATCGTGATGATAATCTACAAAATGATAGGCTACCAGAATTTATAACGCTCGGTATACTAAGCAGATTTAATAGGAAGTATTACAGTTGAGTTCCATCTCCCATTGACCTAAATGGCAAATTTGCACCTAATTTGGTACAAAAATAACCTAATAGAGTCTGAAGAGTAACGTAATTGAGTTCAAAAAACAATATTCCTTTTAATTTTACGGAGCTGATTCATAGGCGCCCGCAGGGGGGGGCAAGCTGGGGCATTTCCCCTCCTGGCTTTTTCAAAATGTTTTTTTTAATTGAATAGATAAATTACTATATACTATACAACAAATTTAAAGTATAAATAAATTGTAATATAATAAAATATAATATATTGTATACGAATATAATAAAAAAGGTTATTATTTTAAAACACCTAGTAAAATTATAATATTTATCCTCAAATCCTAACATTGCCCCCTCCTAGAAAAATTTCTGTGGGCGCCTATGCTATCAGCAGACAATATTATGGCAGCTATCTTATAGTTAGAGTATCAATTACTAAAAAATTGGACTGAATTAGGGTTATTAACCGATGTAATAATGCCGTATAAATATAATTTCGGGTTTGTGACTGAACTGTGTAAAACCCTTAAAATGTATATTGTTTCAGTTTTTAATTTTCAAACTAATCGCTAACTAAACAATAATGATACTTTAAATATATCGTTTTAGATATCATGGGGGGTGGGGGGTACTTACGAAAGCACCGGTGAACTGTTCGGCGTGCGTCAGGGCCTGATCTGCGGCCACGACGATGCCATGGATGATATCCTCTTCGCGCCGCATTGTAGACTCCGATTCCGATTCCGATTCCATCATCATAATGTCGTGGCCCACGGCGCTGCTCATCATGGCGCCAGTGGCGCCGCCACCGCTACCGTCGTACGTCAGCAGCGTGCCACACGGGTTGTGCCAAAACGGCGTACCGGTAGCGATGACTGGGCGCGGCGGCGTCGGCGACGGAGACTTTGACGATTTGGCGGGTGCGGACATGGCACAGGGCACCAAGATCAGTCCGATAACGAACGAACCAGCTGTGAAAAACAAAAAAATATAAATAACGAGTTACATTTTAAAAAGCATAGACATTTTGATGTGTAAGTGTATAATGTAATATATAAATTTTATTTGTAGTCAGTATATTATACATAGTTTGCTACTAAGCAGTACTATACACACGAACAAGAGAAAGAATTTTTTAAAGACCAAAAAAACTACTGAAATGAATGCGATTGTCTCATAATGTATATAATTGATATATAACTCAATATTATTTATACCTGCAGCGCTAATACATATTATACTTATTTTTTGACGTTGTAAATTGGCCGGATCGTGTCTATATCGCTCTTGAAGACCGGTACGTTACGCATGTACGAGCATAATATATACGTTTAATAATAATTATTGTACCTTCGTCTGGCACCCCAATTAGCTATATTACTCTGCGCGCGACGATTGCACTGCGGACGAGGGTGGCGGCGGGAAAGAAACCTCCGTCGCGTTTGCAAAGTGCCCGCCGGGCTGTCTCCGATCCGACCGTCGTCGTCGTGGTCCATACGTGATCGTCGCAGCAACATTCGATCAGCGGCAACAGATCTCTCACACACGTAGCGCACATTACTGGCTAATTATTATCGTCCGGCCTGCCGGTCGATTGCGTGTGGTATTGTTGTCGCGCGGGGACCACACACGCGCGGCGGTTTGAGAGCGCGAGCGCGCGCGCGCGATGACGRCCACAACGTCTTTGGCCGCGACGGCCGAGTATAGGTATACAAGAGGGACGACGTCGACTAAGACGAGTAGAGGACTRMGAGAGAATGACGAGGAGGACGAATGAGGTTGACGAGGACGAGGTGTGGAGGAGTAGTTGTAATATAGGTATATTATAGTTGCAGGTAGGTTTTTTTTCGCATCGATTATTTATTATTATTWTTTTTTTCATTTCGTTTGGTATAACATAGACGCGACGGCGGTTTTTTTCTTTCGAAAAGCTCGGCGAGCAATTAGCGAAAAATTCACGGCAAACCGGCGATTTTACAAGGTTTTTTTTTTATTTTTTATCTTAAACCCCCGTGCGATTTTGCTAACCCGTTTGCCCGATCACCGCCACTGCAGGTGATGCGATGGGAATTATTATTGGTCTTCGATAGGTATACATATTACAGGTATATATATATATGTACTATGTATCTATTTGTCGAAGCCGCTGTTTATCTCATCTCGTACATTATTACGACGACATCACTCGTACTTATTATTGTATATTATATACATATGTCATATATATATATATATATATATTATTATTGTATGTGTGCGTATACGCTAAACGGAGGAAAAAAATTATATAATTGTTAATTGTTATCCTCTTAGAGAAACACCGTTTTATAAATCGCGTTGTATAGAAAATAGTGCTCATCGTAAATATTTTTCCGATATAATATTATACACCTATATATATTCCCTACTCGTATATCATTGTATTATAGAGTACAACTTATATAGATATAATATACACGCTATATTATTTGAATACGGCATCTGTTTTGTTATTGTTGTCAAAAATGATCCACCTTATTAGATGCCATTTTATTAACCGATCGTATTACAACACCGATGGTGTCTATAAAACATATTTATTGACCACCATGAAAGTCCAAGACGAAAAAAAACCTACATAGTTTAGAATTTTGTTTTAAGTGGCCAAGATTATTTTTTTTATTATCTTGCATTACAAAGTTATTCTGTTCGAATTGAAAGTGCGAAATTTGCTTATTTTATACGAATTCATGGCAACATATATAGTGAGTAATTTTTCTAATATTCTTATTAATTAATTACTGAGACAAACACACAGATTTATGAAGAAAAAAAATTGTTCGTAATTTAATGAAATGAATGGGAATAAAAATGTATTATTTAGCATTAGGAATCTAACTAATTGTAAAAACGCTTTTATCATAACAGCTAGCRCTTTCAAAACATTTATTTTTTGATACCAAGCCTATACTTTTTTAATATTATTTTTATTCCTAAATTATAAAAATTACCTCTAAATACACAGAATTGTATTCTTTAGTAATAAAGTATTAAATCACTTATTATTTACACCACAATTTTAATTTWAATTAAATGTATAAAGAAAATATAAACATTTTTAAGTGCGTAGCTGGAAAACTGCAGTTTTAATTTTTATATTTGGTAATAAACATGTAATAATATTATAAATAAAAACAAACAAAACATCATATTAAAAAAACATAATTTTTTTCAGTAAAATAAACAGAAACATTTTTTTCGATGTTTGTAAATTAAAATTTCAAATTATGGTTTTGAGCAATAAAAATTTAATCGTACCTATAAATGAATTAAGTCGGATTCGTTGGGCCATTAGTAATTCGAAGGACCATGTTTCTTGAATAATTCGTCAACATATCTAATCTAGTTTAGGTACTAGTGACCATGTCATCGTCACAGACAGCACAACACATAATATTATATCGCTATCACGAGAGGCACAACGATGTCGACGCGTCGTCAAGCGACGACTAAAATGTACTGTGTGGATGTGAGGTATACACATTGCRCGATTTATTATTTTTCGTACATAATTATTAATTATTAATAGTTCAGTATATGGAAACATTTACGATCAATCGACAACTATCAATGTTATCGGAAGGCCGTGATTGTTTTATTTTTCATTTGTTTTCCATTAAGATAATTAGTGCATACGTCATTTTATTTCTATGTAATATAGAAACCACCTATACATGTTATAACCCGAAACGCGAATGAAAATCACTTGGCGCGGTACTCAAAGCTTATCGAGTTGTAAAAGTATGTCAGAATATATATATATATATATATATATATATATATTATACCTGTACAATATTAATACATATGGATCGATTACGATCACGCAATATAACTTGTGACGAATAATCGAAAAGCGTAACAACTGTCGATCGCATGGCAATGCCACGCACGGTGGCTGTTCGACGAATATGCCGCACACGTGTACTTGCAGCGATATTATATACCTAATAACAATAAATAAAGTTCATAATGTGGATATCGATGAAAAGTTACGGCTATTTATTGTTTTAGTTCAAACACTCAAAATAATAGAGGCGACGACGGTGTCAGAGCGCTACGCTGCAAGTGAATCTTGATGAAGACCAAAGAGGCGACCTAATCAGTAGATTGATGAAAAACTCGAAGCAAAGAGCATGTTGATAAAATAAACTATTGTCCCCGTCATCGTCATTAATATGCGGTGTGAGGTAAATTTTCGAACGGCTTCGAACGAAATGCAACCGGTGTCGTTTGCCGCTCGCACGGCTGCTGCAGACAAAACAACAGTGCACGCAAAAGGAATGATAACAAAAAACGCTAACGTGGTTCCAGCGATCAGTTAGATTTTTTTATTATACATTTTTTTAATTTATTATTAGGTGTAATAAATTATAATATTATATGTATAACAATATTAAATTATCATCATTCGTCATAACATGATATATTATATTATTATTATATTCCCTTTTTTGAGGATATGAATGCAGTGATGGTTTTACAGTACGATCCTACGAATTCTTTGCGAAAAATTACTTATACTACAATACATAGGATGCAAAACATATTCGATGAAATGACCTGAGGCACGATAGGGTTAACATGATGTATAGGTGTTTGATAATATTATAATGGCGACTTGTCGTCAGGGACTCACCAAAAAATAGCCGACACGAACGGCGGGTGAAATCAAATCTCCTAGGGGCAGTTTGGCAGCGGTCCATCTGTAGCGATGGCGTCCGGCGGTCTGGCACGTTCGCCGTGGCCGGCACCGAAGGCGTTTGTTGCCTGCAGTGTTCTCGATAACAATCAACACACCCGGTACCTCCGTAAGACTYCATAAGGCCGTCGGAGGTCGAATCGAAGTGTAAAAAAAAAATTTTAATGGTCAAAAAACGTATTCTTTCGAGAATATTAGGCACGTCCGATCGAACTGATTACGGTTAATACAATAATATACGTATATTATGTCACACGCGTACCTAGAGAGACGTTGTTATATTGTGCCGGCGAGCGCGATGTCGATACGAACGTCGATAAAACACAAATAATAATAAAAAACGATCGAAAAACAATAATAATAAATTAATGTGTGTTATATCTGACGAACTGATAAGTCTGCTGTATGTTAACGTATTTTATTTAAATTACGATACGGTTCAAATTATAAAATAATAATATTATTAAACAAATAGTGTGAACTCGCGTGCAATATACGGGACGACGACGACAACGACGATGATAATGATGTTATATTATATATTTATACGGATGACCACCGTCGACCGAAAACGATCAACTGAGATAGCCACCTGACTCCGGTGGACATTTAAGTCTCGACGGTGGACCGAGCGGCGGCAACAGCAGCAGAAGCGGTGGCGGCAAACGTAAGGGCGGCCCGCCGGACCCCCACCCGCACGACCATGGGTTTTCCACCCGGCCGCCGGTTGACCAATGGCGACCTGTTGAACGGCCGGGAGGACCAGCCCAAAGCGACCGGGGGTTCATTCATTCAGGACGCGCGCACGCACACACGCGCAWACGTATACGCACACAGACGCACGCGAGCCGAATTTCGCGCGCTCCCCTCCGCGGACGACGACGACGCCGCCGCCGCGGAGAGCGCGGACGGACACGCGGTGACGTCAACGAACGATGACATACTGCTCTGTTCGCTATAGCTGTCCTGTCGCCACTGTATACGGTCCAGAAAACACCGTGGGGGTATTTCCCATCACTGCTACAACAACAGCCACCGTCACTACCACTACCACAGTCACTGCTACTACCACTACCACTACCACTATCACCCTATAGCCAGGCGGTGACGGTCACGGTTCGTATGGCCCCCGTCGGGGATGATGGCCACGCAAATAATATTATTTTTATTAAGTGCTGCAATAAGGATAAATTACACTGTGCAGCGCGTGTAGGTGTACTATACCATGCACAATACACTAGGATAATAATGTCATCTGTGTGGGATTAGGTCCCGTCGCTATACATGCGTAAATAGGTAATAGGTATTATAAATAAAGTAGGAAATAACGATTTTTGAGGGAAAAACAAGTTCTGGTGATACTTTTATATAATATTACATCTAAACCTAGGAACTTTGCGTCACTACGCACAACGTGTCAAGTAGAACAGTTCGCGAGAAGGTCTAATTTCGATATTCTGGTAAAATGAAAAATTGATCGTGCACGTTATCACCGTCATCTCCTATGGCCTATATAAAATACTACATATTATACGTCAGTTAGTATTTGAGCGTATTGTTGACTTCCGCCTGCACTACGATGCGATAGTAACCTAAAAATGACAATATTGTTCCACTCACAAAGAGTAAGAGAATATAAGAAGTGTAAGTATATAGTATGCTTAATAATATAAGTAGGTATACACTTTTGTAAAAGCTAAAAATTCACGTATTTTGTATTACTATAAGTCTATAACACACTGGGCTATAAAAGTCAGAAATAGAGTTATCGCGATTCAACTGTACCTATAAGTATTTTTAGTGAACATTTTAAATCTCCGAAATACCTAATTGTTTTCTAAATAGCATCAAAAAAAAAAAATCGATTTTATACGGAAACTTATTAGGTTCCTTCCTTTTTTTAGTACATTTTGTTAGATAATCCCAATTATTTAGAAAAATACTGATCATATTTTTTTATTCCACTAGGTACCTACTTTCCTACATTTTCTACTAGATCAAAATTCTTGCACTCAATGTCGAAGTTTGTTTCAAAACGTGATGAAACAGACAAATAAAAACATTGTAAAACTCATAGATTTCAATCATGTTGCTCAAAATCTAATTATCTAAAATCAAAATAATTGGCTTCCGCTATTCTTTAATATGATGTCATTAATAAACATATTTTTCAAGCTATACACGGTGAACC